GCTCTGAGCCAAGGGTTGCTTCCCAGTTGGAAGGCCATGGGCCGAGTATTTCGGTACATGGTTGATGCCATGATGGCCAGGTTTGGTGCCCAAGTTGCCCTTGCCTTGCGCAACGCGATGGTTGCAAGAACCGACAGAACAGGTTGCTTTGCAGCGTGGCCGAGAGCGCGTGCGCGCCCGGAGCGTTTGAGTCTCAGGGGTCCGCGCGGTCTCGACTGGGCCAATGATGCCCGCGAGCCTCAGAAAAGGTGCACGCGCGGATGGTGGCGATTTTCCGCAGTTTGGTGCTGGGTTCTTTTCAACAGGGCAAGATCATCCAACACCAGGAATCCCTGAGCCACTTGCCTCACGAGGGTCTTCCGCCTGGTTGTGGCTGTATCCGAGACATTCCAAGGGTTGAAGTTGAAAGGTTTTGTGTGGCATCGGGCTTGCCAAAGGCTCCTGGCCTCTGAGGAAGTCTAGGATTCTGGATGTAGCCGGCAGTCCGTGAGCACACCCGAAGCCTTCCTCTCGTACCGTCGTACCCGGGCAGTTGTTGCCGGATGTTGCATGTTTTCGTGAACTGAGTCAGCCTTGGTTCCCAGGGCTCATGGCGCGACAAAGATGCAGACATGCAGCGCAACTGAAAAGAAAGTGGACCTCCTCCAAGGTCCGCATCTGCGTTGCCTAGCCTTGTGGCTGCCAAACAAGTTGAACAGTGTGCGTGTGCTTGTGTGTGGGCCGGCGCTCATTTTGGACATTCAACGTCTTTTTCCTTTTGCAAGAAATGCACACACACAAGCACAGGCTGGTCAAATTTAAATAGAGCGACTGGTTGCAGAGTCGTTTCGGCATCACTGTCATTATCCTTTGAACGCTCAGTTTGGTTGATGTTTAGATTCCACTAGTTTCAGATTGGTTTGATGTTCATTTGCCAGCGTCATCCATGGATTTGTCCGAAAGGATAGGGTTGGCCGCCGTTTCAACGGATGCTGCCACCGAGGGTACTGCTCATGCGGGGCGTGGAGGGCCAGCCCCGGCAGTACATGCGGGCCTACAAGGAGGCCGGATCTTGCAAGAGAGCGGGGTGCTGTCAAAGTATTTTTAAGCCATATTTAAAATTAAACAAATAATTCAATAAATGAATAAATCAACAAATAAATATCTCAATAGCTAGACAACTAGATACATAGTAGATACATAAATAAATAGCAACAATGTACACCCCACCGCAAAATTAGCATTACACCCAAAGAGCGGGGGGTTTCCCAAAAGGAGTGTCCTCTAAAACGATGATTTTGGGGGATTGCAGGTAAGTCTGCAGGGGGATCGGCTATGCACATTTTACCAGCTGGCCAAGTGGGATGAATCAGGGCCTTCTTGCAATCCTTATCAGCTCCTGAGTTGGCGGACCTTTGAATTTTGCTGGCAAGAGCAAAGGAACTCCTGTCGCTGTTGTCAGCGGGGCAAGGAGGCCCTTTGTGACGACCCAGGTAGGCCTCTTTGTTTGCTTGCCGAGACGAGAGCTCAGTGGAATCCCTACAGACTTCAAGTAGCCGGCTCCGCAGTGGCAACCAATTTATGGCAAGAGAGCTCCCAGCTTCCCATTGGAAAGATCGCGTCCTTTGGTTGACAACGTCATGCCCCTTTCTGGGATCGATCTTCTTGCAGGGCGGATGAAGCACACGCGGCCCCAGGCCCTTGGTCCGTATCGCAGTCTCGCTTGCCGATCGCTTGCCAGTTGCCCTTCACCAACCGCATCAAGGCAGGGGCCGGCTGGTCGCTGGTGGCTGGTCGCTAAGTCAAACTCACGGCTGGTCGAGGCCACTTGTCCGATGGGGTTTGAATCCGCTGCACTTGGGTAACTTTGAGACTGGTGAAACAGGAGCTAGTCGCCGGGTCTTTCAAAGCCACAAGCCTTGCCACAAACCAAGGGCCTGCGGGCATGAGCTTCCTGAGGATCTTGAAGGACGTAGAGCCAGGGTGTGCTTTTTAGGAATTTGGTTAGAAACTGGCGGCCCTGGTGCAGCTTGGTTTCATTCCATTTACCAGGGCCAGCTTTGTTGGCCAAAGGCCACATATGGATGTAGGAAGTATAGAATGACGGAAAGCGACCTGTAGGTCGATAGAGGTTGGGGTTGAAATGGAAAGGGGGGCAAGGTCCGGAGTAAAATGACAGAACGCGACCGTGTGAATGCAAGTTCAACTGCAGAATGCAATCGCAAAACACAATTGCAAGCTTGCGCCTTCTAAAATTGAAGACGATCTGGAAGGGGAACCAACTGGTGGGGATTTGTTCATTTAGAGGCAAACCCTTATGCCTTTGCCTTTTTCAGGGTTACCCGTTTTGAGGTTCTTTTGTATTGTGAAACACCAAGTTGCCATGGGTTACAACATAGCAAGGGAACCCCCCCCTGTAGTGATAAGTCGTTCGAACCAATCACTTTGGTATCACAAGGGCTACAGTTCGGAGAAAGTAGCTGGCACAATTCCCTGATGATGGTTTAGTCATCCCCTGCCCATGCTTCTACTTCTCAGGGATGCAAACCAACCAACAATGTTGGAAGCCACCAACCATTATGGGATCCAGAGAATTTTAGTAATCTGCCTCCATGAAATTTGGCTTTTGCCTCGAGGGCTTTTTTGTCAACTTCGCTCAGGATATGGCTGGTGGCATTGCCAACTCGCCAGCGCCCAAGCTGGGTTGGCCCGACCGAGAGGTCCATCGGAAGTTCACAGAAGAGTGTCTCCCTTCGAATACCAGCCCAACAAAGTCCACCATTTTGAGAAAGAAAGGCTATCTTTTTTACATGGAAAGGGAAAGAGAAACTCAGGTGGCAGACAACAACTTTTTTTTGCGCCTTTCCGCATACAGTCAAGTTTGTCTATACTCCCAGCATTGGGTTTTGTTTCTGGGTACGACATTTCGGACGCCTCTGCCTGCCTAACTCGCCCGCCTCGTGCAGTCCCGCACCTCGGAAAAAGCTGGTGGCTTGCTTCCATGAACGTGTCTTTCTTGGGTTCCTCATTTCCTGGTTGAAAACTTGTTGTGGTGGGATGTGGTGGGGGGGGGGGTTGTGGGGTTGGGGGATTATTTTTATTAGTTTGCTTTTGCGTTGGGCGAGGTAAACATTACTAATAGCTCGATGGAACATTCGGTTTTAAGTTCGCCACCCCGATTCCAAGTAGGCTCTTATGCATCCAACCATCCCACAGGAGTCACCCCGGGTATGTCGAAATAGGACCCCATGGCTGAGTCTTCCTTTGGTTTCCCTTAATTCAAAAGGAGAAGCTCAAAACGCAACGTACTGATGGACTTTAACATGCTGAACCACCAGTGACTAGGGTGGGTTACCACAAGATTTCTAAGGCTCATCCAAACCGTCGGGTGGAAGTACATACCGCTTGTTCATACCCCTTTCCCTGGTTTCCAACCCACTCTTTTTTGGGGGGGTATACATGTCCTTTGCGGAGAGTATGAACATCAGGCCTGGGGTAGACTTAGGATACATCTTAGACTTCAGACTTCACCAGTGACTCAATGTGAAGCAAATAATTTAAAATATACATTCTGTATCTGGGCCTTACTCTAGTCACGAGGGCCTTTTTGAGGTTCATTTGCCGGGAAATGAGCGAGCACCCCTGGACTGGATCTTTCAGATCCGAGGCTGTGGCTCTACGCCTCTGCGGACCGGGCAGACCTGGAGGCCGGCTTCATCTACTCCTACAGGCGCGGGTGGTGGGGGGGGGTGGCGGTGCGAGCCGCGGAGTTCGGAAGATTCTTACCCCAGCGATCCCAGGGTTTGGTGCACAGAGGGTCTGTAAGACGACTTGCCTCTTGGAAAAGGCCTGGAAGTGCACTTCCATGTTGGTTGGTGGGAGCTGAAAATAGATATGTTGCCGTGGGTCAAAACCAATGGTAACATTTTGGGGTAGGTTCGCCACCCATTTTAGAACCGATTTTAGTGGTTGGATTGGGATGTTCACTGGGGGGTAACCGGGCTTTTGACCCATGGCCATATGTTACCAAATAATAAGGTTCAGTCTCATTTTTTCCCCACCAAGCCAGCGAAGGCCCCAGGGATCCGTTGTGGAAACATCAACAGGCAGACATGTTTTCGAGGCCTGGAGCGTGGCACATTGGTTTTTGGTTGTATCTTGCATGTGTTCAGTCATGGGCCTTAAGTGGTCTGACTCGGAAAGAAGGCACCTGAGTTCGGCATATCTTTTGAGACACACACACACACGTTCACAATATATACGCCCGCGCACGCCTTTGGGCATAAGAAACGAGGGTTGCATGTCTGCATGAGCAAAGATCTGAAGCACCACGTCTTGGTTCCTAGTTCCAGATCACAGGTCGGGTTGGTGCTACATAAAGAAGCGCGAGGGCGACGTTTTGTTAACAGCTGTAGAGCTGGCGCCGATTGATCACGGCGCTGGCGCGGTGGTTCCGCAGGCTTTTGACGTCCTCGCAGCGCGCTCAGGATGCAGATTCGGCAGAGGGGGCTTTGGAGGGAAACGCGACATGCGATGTTAGCATGCAATCTGCAACGTTCAGGGGAGCTGCTTATTGAACATTGGCTCCCTTCAAGAAGAAATCACCCCGAATCCCTGCTGGGATTGATCGGCCAGGGTTTGTCAGCGGAAACACCATCCAAACTCACATGATTCGCAAGGGCAACCTTCACATCAGCAAGTAAACGTGATGACGAAATTACCCAACGACCACAGGTCCGGGACTTTTGTATTACCAGTTGTTTGTCGAGCACATCAATTGACTTGCTTCAGGGACATAGTTCTTCAGCCACACGTAGATCAACGGTGGGTCCAAGGAAAGATTTGGCTAGTAGGGCCTGGATCCCGCTAGTGAGGTTCCATTGTTAATTGGTGGGAGGGTATGTGTCATCTTGGCAGGCGGGGTTGTTTCCCTTTCGGTGAGAAAAAAACAACCGCGGTTTTGAGTCGGATCTGTTTGAGGCGCACCTTTGCCTCGAAGCTCACGCAGTACAAGGCGAGAT